GTAAGTAGAGGAGCTAGACTAGAAAGTCAGCATGAACCCAGAACGTGTCTTCTGAACAGCTAACATATAGTCCCTTGTCATTTTCCCATTATTTCACTTTTCTGTCCAGAAACAAAAGATATCTTTCCATATATCTCTTATGCTCCTCAGTACATTTTTTTGTGTTTTTTTCATATAGGATATAAATTTTATTATTTTATTCTTGTTGATATATATTTTATTGCTACTTAGAATATCATCTTTTTTCATTATATTTTCTGTTATTGTTAGTCAAATCAATACCTTTATATTTGATATTTATTTAATATCTGACTACCTTTGTAAAGTATTTTACTCTTTTAAATATTTCTTTTATTAATACTCTTGTGTTTTTCAAGTAGACAATCACAGTATGCCAATAATACTCCAGTGGCCTACTTTCCAATATTTGCATTACTTATTTGTTTTTGATATATTTTTGTAGTAGTTGGAACTACAGAACAAGATCAAGAATGCCGGTAATTGAATGCTGTTTTTTCCCCTAAATTTATTGCTAATACTCATTATTTATTCAATAACTGTTTACCCACTCTGGAATGGATAAAAATGGATGCAGTCCTCATCAAATTTTGATTCTGGTTGGAAAGAAAGACATTTGACAACCATTGAGACTGCTATTTATTTTCAATTTTTGTAAGTAGAACAATCCATGAGAATGCATACAGCAGAATCTGACCCAGCTGAACTTGGGAAGAGCAGGGGGTTTGGAGAGAGGGAGTGGCAAAGAAATTTTCACCCCAAAAGAATAGCCTTAGTGCAGATCCTGAAGCTGGAGAGCCTGTGACACATTTGGGGTGCCTGGGTGGCTCAGTCAGTGGTTAAACTTATCTGCATTCAGCTCAGGTCATGATCCCAGGGTCCTGGGATCGAGCCCCACATTGAGCCCTGCATCGGGCTCCCTGCTCAGTGGGGAGCCTGCTTCTTCCTCTCCCTCTGCTGTTGCCCCTGCTTATGCTCTCTGTCTCTCTTTCAAATAAATAAATAAATAAATAAATAAATAAATAAATAAATAAATAAATAAAAAGAAATCTTTTTTTTTTTAAGTGGCTCATGTTTGGCAAGTAATGAACAGAATGGCGTGACAACTTGGAGGGGTGGACTGGGGCCATGTAATATATGACCTTATAGGCCATTTTTAAATGAAATACTCCTCTGGCTGCAGCATGTATCCTAGATTAAAGCTGGAATGCCTATTTGCAAATCAGTGAGGAGGTTATTGCCAAGGAATGATTCTTGGCTTAGACGGTGGAGATGGAGATGGAGACAGAGACTGAAATGTGGATACATTTGGTGGCGCCTGGGTGGCTCAGTTGATTGGGCGTCCCACTTTTGGTTTCTACTCAGGTCATGATCTCATGGGTCGTGACCTCATGGATCTCATGATCTCTGGGCGTCGGGTTCCGTGCTCAGTGGGGAGTCTGCCTGAGGATTCTCTCCTTCTGCCCTTCCCCTACTCTCTCTCTCTCTCAGAAATGAATAAATAAATCTTTTTTTAAGAAAGAAATGTGGATACATTTGGAAGATATTTAGGAGGTTAAGTTGTTAGGATTTGAGAATTTATTGAATAGAGGTACAAAGGAGAGAGTGATAGGAAGGTTTTGTCTCAGAAGTGTGGCTTGTGGAGGTGAATTTATTGTGGTGCATTTTACCAAGATAGACAAGACAACCAAGTTTGGGGGTAAAATAATTCCATTTTGATGAATTTGAATTTGAGTGCCCAAAATGCATTCAAATTAACTTTCTAATAGAAATTGTCTACATAGGTCTTTATTGTAAAAAGGTGTGGACTGCATATAAATTTAGGCAAAAAGCTATGAATATGAATGAAATTGCATAGGCAGAAACTATGGTTGAAGAGATCAAATGGCCTGAACTTCGAATCCTGCCGAATAATGGACTCCAATATTCAATATTTGAAAACTCCAGAGAAGCAAATGAGTCACCAAAGAAAACCAAAGAAAGGAAAATTAGGAGGAACAGTCTGAAAGTATGGTATCAGAGTAGCGTAGAGAGTATTTTATAGGTACATTCAAATTTCTGCCCCTACCCCTTACTCCACTGGATTTTTTGAAGCAAATCTCAGACATTGTTATCTTTTTGTGTACAAGGTTCAATGTGTATCTTTAAAAGACAAAGACTCTTTTTTTAACATAGCCAAAATACCTTTGTCACACCCCCAAAAGTATTAACAACCATTCTTTAATGTCACATTTCCCCAATTATCTCAGAATTTTTTTTAACAGTTTGTTTGAATCATGATAAAAGCAAGAGCCACACTTGCATTTGGTTGATATGTCTCTTTAGTCTCTTTCAATCAGTCCCCTTTCTCTTCCTTCTCTTCCCTCTCCTCCTGCTTGTCCTTCAACATATTTATAAAACTGATTGCTTGTCTTGTAGACTTTCCCAAATTCTAGATTTTGTTGATTGTCACTGTTCTTTAATAGAACTCATTACTACTAGGTTTGCCATTGTTTCTAGACCTTTTCAGGAGACAAAGATGGAAAATACTATTAAAAAACATATGTATACACATGCATATATGAGTTCATACTATTTTTTTATTTCAAATTTATAAATTTTATTTTAAACCTTTTTTTTTTAAAGTGAGCTCTACACCTAACATGGGGCTTGAGCTCACAACCCTAAGATCAAGAGTGTCATGCTCTACCAACTGAGCAAGCCAGGCACCCCTATCTTAAACCTTTTTGATTTTATATCTCTTTTCTTAGTCTTTAATGGCATTAACATAATTACATATTTGCTTTTTAAATCAAATATGAATTTAGGTAAAAACTCATCTTTTTTCATGTAGACTTCTATGAGTTTTGACAAATGCTTATAGTTGTAACCATTACCTCAATCAAGATACAGAATATTTTCATCACCACCCCCAAAATTCTGTGTACCTTTATAATAATTACATATTTGATTTGATTTCAGAATAATAGTACTGGTATTATTATGCTATTATAATTATTGAAAATAGCTTAAGAATTTTTTGCAGTTCATTTGTAAGGTATATTCCACACAGATATACAGTCCAAATGAATGTGCCCTAGAGTTCACTGAAATAATTCCTCTTTGTGTTACAAAGCCATCAGCTTTACTGATGTATAGGTGTATTTGTTCATTTTGCTTTTCTTTCTTTTTTAAAAATTTTTTATTGTTATGTTAATCACCATACATTACATCATTAGTTCTTGATGTAGTGTTCCATGATTCATTGTTTGCGTATAACACCCAGTGCTCCACGCAGAACGTGCCCTCTTTAATACCCATCATCAGGCTAACCCATCCTCCCACCCCCCTCCCCTCCAGAACCCTCAGTTTGTTTTTCAGAGTCCATCCTCTCTCCTGGTTCGTCTCCCACTCCGATTCCCCCCTTTCATTCTACCCCTCCTGCTAGCTGCTGCTGCTGCTTTTTTTTTTTTTTTTAACATATAATGTATTATTTGTTTCAGAGGTACAGGTCTGTGATTCAACAGTCTTGCACAATTCACAGCGCTCACCATAGCACATACCCTCCCCAATGTCATTTTGCTTTTCTTTTTTAGGGAGAGTTTTAGGGAGAGAATTTATTTTTATTGCTAAAATCATGTGAAATATTTACTTGATTCTGAATTCCAGTCTCCAGTATAAGCTATATTCAGAGAAGTCTACAGCTCAGAGGAAGTGTCCCATGGGGCTAGGAATCAGCCCTCCGAGGGGGATGTTCCTGCCTGGCTGCTCAGTTACTGGTACCCCTGAGGTGCACAATAAGGGTGACTGATTGTTGAAAAAAAGATGCAGAGTGAAACCGACTGCCACCTAAACGAATTGATGCTGCCAGGGCAAAGCACCACTGCTGGGATGGTGCTAAGGGAATGGAGCAAGTCACTTCTCCTTCTTGTCTCACTCTCATTCTAGTCCCCACTGTGGATGGAACCTAACACGGAGCCAGTTGAATAAAGGAGAAATAGTCTGCAGAGTCTCAGTATCATGGAATTGAGTATAAAGTGGTATGTGGACATGAGAGACAGTAAGTAGCAATGTGTGCTTATGTTTCCCTAGTGTCATTGAGAATCAAAATCACTTAGTACAAGATCTGTACACTTCAAATTTTATTAGACTTTTCTAAAAATCACACTTAACAATTTTGATACGAAAAAGGGGGGGATTTAGAGACTATTGCCTAGAGCACTACTTCAAATTTTAACAACACCGAGGAATCTTGCTAAAAATGCAGAATCTGGGGTGCCTGGGTGGCTCAGTTGGTTAAGCTTCTGACTCTTGATCTCAGCTCAGGTCTTGCTCTCCCCTCCCCCTTGGGCTCCACGCTGGGCATGGAGCCTACTTTTTAGAACATGCAGAATCTGATTCAATAGTCCTAAGGTGGTCCCGACAGTCTGCATTTTTTTTTTTTAAAGATTTATTTATCTATTTGAGAGAGAGACACAAGCAGGAGGGGTTGAGGGAGAGAGTGAGAGAATATGAAGTCCACTCGAGCTGAGCACAGAGCCAGAGGCGGGGCTCAATTCCATGACGCCCAGATCAGGACCCCAGCTGAAATCAAGAGCGGGTGGCTTAACCAACTGCGCCACCCAGGGGCCCCTCTGCATTTCTAATAAACGCCCAGGTGATGTGAATGATTGCATTTTAGGTCAACCATTTCCCTGTTTTCACAGCCACTACCATGTCATTCTTCTGCTACCTTTATGTGAAAATGCCCTTATTACGGATCATCCCAATTGCCTACCCGCTAAGAGGGGAACAAATCCCGCTCCCAGAAAGCGGGAAAAAAGACAAGATTTGAAGCCTCGGGGCTCAAGCTTGGCCTCTTATGAGACATGGATGACGTCACTCAGACAGGCGTGGCTCTAGTTGTGACGTTTCCGGCGGCGGATGGTGAAGGACGCGGCGGGAGGCGGGGGCGGAAGTGGGGGGGGCAGGAGGGCGGGGTAGGTGGCGGAAGGGGAGGGCCGGGAAAGTCGCACTAGTCCGCCCTTTTCCGGCGTGAGGGGCCGGAAGTTGTGGCCTGGCCGTGTCAACTAGGGGGCTGCTGGCTGAGAGTGCGGCTGAGACCGCGACCATGGGCGGGAAGAACAAGCAGCGGACCAAGGGGAACCTGAGGGTGAGTGTGGAGGGACTCGGCCGGCCGGGGAGTCCTCATCTCGCAGCAGCTGGTTCTACCACGCGCGCGTCCGGAGGGCGTGTGGAGCGCGGCTGTAGGGAGGCGTGTGTTTGCGTGTCGAGTGTGACCTCTCTGATGTGTGTGCGTCCCCCCGAACGGGGTGCGTTGTCTCTGAGCAGATTGGGGATTTGTGAGAGAAAAGATGTTCCATGCCAGAGCGGTCTCCACCCGAGCACACATCCTACAGTTTCCATTAAGGAATGGTTCAGTATCCGTTTCAACTGGAAGGTTACCTGGCCGGGCTAGCGGGGGTGGGGGCGGGTGGCACTAGGAACAAGGGAATTGGGTAGAAAGCATTTAAAGTGAGCCTGGTGTGCAGGGCATCTCGGATCATGTCGCTCTTTTGCTCAAAAACCTGCTGGGGCTCCCCAGATTCCTCGGGGTAAAGGCCAAATTCCTTACGATGGTGTACAGGGTGTGTGGTCAGCGTCTGGCCCCTTTCTTTCTCTGGCACCATCTTCAGCTTCCTCCTTTCTCGCTCCATCCCCACACTGTCCTCCTCACCGAGCCTTGACCTTGCCTGGCAGGCTCCCTAAGGCTCTTTTTTTTAGGCGGCAACAAATTTCGTTGAGACACCCCAGTGAGGTCTGTCATGATCGCCCTATTTTAAATTGTAGCCTCCCTCTCCGTGTGCTCCTTTCCTGCTTTATTTTACTCCTCTGCACTTAGGACTTCTCACATACTATATGATTTACTTTCTTCATTTACTGTCTTGCTTCATTGGGATGTATTATGAAGGCAGGTGTTTTTATGAAGGCTGTTGTCCTAGGAGCCTAGAACAAGGACTAGCATATAGTAGAAGCTCACTAAATATATTTTTTAAAGATTTTATTTATTTATTTGCGAGAGAGAGAGAGGCCACAAGCAGAGGGAGACGGAGAGGCAGGCTCCCGCTGAGCAGGGAGCCCACCACTGGGGCCTCCATCCGTGACCCTGGGATCATGACCTGAGCGGGAGGCAGATGCTTAACGACTGAGCCACCCAGGTGCCCCTAAATACTTGTTTAAAGAAGTGAATTAAACTTATTAGGGATGTTATTATATTTTTATGGTATTAGGCTTGTTATGGCACAGTCCAATATTATGAGAGTGTATTTTTCCTGCTTCTGATCAAATTCTAGTGATATCCATACATTTTCTTAGATCTGTCACTTGATCTGTTTTTGGCAGATAGTACCAACTGTAATAATAGTAACTTGCCTTGTGTTGGTACTGTGTTAAGCACTTTACTTGCATTCTCATTTAATTTTAATTTTTTATTTGGACAATTTTTTTATTTTTTAAAATATTCCAAACATGAGGATAAGTTGCAAAAATATTAGACTGACAAGCCATATGTTTTTTACCTAGATTCATCAATTGTTAATATTTGGTCACATTTGTTTTCTTTCTCTAAATATATGTATTTCGCTGAACCATATGAGAACTAGTTGCACATATCATGACACTTAACTCCTAAGTACTTCAGCATGTATATTCGAAACAAATGCCATTCTTCTTCATAACCATGAACAGTTACAACATGCAGAAAATTTAACTTCAGTATACTACTACTATCTAATAATAGATAACATTGTATTCAGATTTCTGTATAGATCTCAATAATGTTCTCTATAACTTGTTTTTAGATACAGCATTTTTAAAAACATCTAAGATACAATCAAGGAGTGATTCCATTCATTTAACCCTTTAGCTCTATGTAGTTTTCCTTTGGAGTTTTTTTCTTTTCTTTTTCTTTTGAGGGCAGTTCTTTTACAACAGGGACAATTTAGAAAAGTCTAGGGCAGTTGTTTTGCTTAATTTAGAATTGTCTGTTCCTTATGGTGAGATTCAGGTTAAACAGTTTTTGATAGGAATGCTTCATAGATGATGTGCCATCATCAGTGCATCAAGAGTGTACGTGTTTGTCCCATTATTGGTGTTATTTAATCACTTGGTTAAGGTGATGTCCATTGTAAAGGTATCTTTCTGTTGGCTATTAACAAATAATATGGGGAGTGGTATTTTGAGACTGGGAATAATCTGTTTTCTCACAAACTTTCACCTAATGATTTTAGCATCCTTTGATGATCTTGCTGGAATCAATTTAAATGGTTTAAAATTTACATTTAATTTTGACAACCCAAGTAATGGCTTAGTAACTTACTATTTTCTCATTTTAAAGATGATGGTACTGAGGCTTAGAGAAAGGGGAAGTTGCATAGTTGAGATTTGAACTTAAGAATGGCATTCTAGGGGCGCCTGGGTGGCTCAGTCGTTAAGCATCTGCCTTCGGCTCAGGTCATGATCTCAGGGTCCTGGGATCGAGTCCCATATTGGGCTCCCTGCTCAGCGGGAAGCCTGCTTCTCCCTCTCCCACTCCCCTTGCTTGTGTTCCTGCTCTCCCTATCTCTGTCTCTGTCAAATAAATAAATAAAATCTTAAAAAAAAACCCTATTAAAAGAAAAAAGAATGGCATTCTTTCGTCCAACAGAAGACTTTGAGTACTGAATGCCATGTACTCAAAGATCATAGACATGTTTCTTGTTCTTGAACTATTAATTTAATGATAAACATATAAGTAAGCAAATGATTATAATATATTAGAGAATTATGATATGGGTATGAGTAGAAAGAAAATGGGAGAACGGAAAAAGAATGATAATTGACCTGAGGGAGGCAAGCATTGAAAACAAGAGTGTGTTTTGAAGGTTGAGTAGGAGTTTGTCAGGCAATGAAAAGGAAGAAGAGGTTTTCAGGTGGAGAGAAAAGATTACACAAAGATCAGATTGTGAAAGGCATAGCATATTCAGAGAACTGTGAATTCACTTTGGGACTGGAACATAAGTGGTGGTAGCAAAATTGGGAGAGGAGAGGAGGAACTGTGACAGGGGAAGAAAAGAGTGTAAGGAGATAAGCCTGGGAAAAGCTAAGGCCAGATGGGGAAAGACCTTGTAAGTCTTCCTGAGTTTGGCCTTTAAACTGTAGACTCAGGATTGCCACCTCTACTACTTCTAGAAGACAGGCACAAAAGAATGAAGTAGGTGTAGTGTAAGAAAATTAACTTTCAGAAATAGAATCAAGGTTCTTATTTTTGAACTGTGGGTATAAGCATTTAACATGCAGTAGAGGAAGTAACAAGAAGAAGTAACTATATTTTAAACTCAAGGTAGACATTGAATAAAAGATACAATTAGTATATTTTTGAAGTAATTTGTTACTTTAAAACTGGAAGTTGGAAATCTGGTACCTTTTATTCTGTAGGTAGTTATCACTGTCAGCTTGGATATTTCAGGTCAATTCAGAATTCAGCCTTGAATGCTTTGGCTTTTTTAAGATGTTTTTATTTATTTATTTGACAGAGAGACCACAAGCAGGTGGAGTACCAGGTAGAGGGAGAAGCAGGCTCCCTGATGAGCAAGGAGCCTGATGCGAGGCTCCATCCAGGCCCCTGGGATCATGACTGAGCCGAAGGCAGTTGCTTAACTGACTGAGCCACCCAGGCACCCCCTTTTATTTTTTTAAATTACACTCCACGCCCAGCACGGAGCACAATGTGGGGCTTGAACTCACAACCCTGAGATCAAGACCTGAGCTGAGATCAAGAGCGGGATGCTTGACCTACTGAGCCATCCAGGCACCCCTTGACTCCTTTAGCTTTTAGCATTAATTTTTATACGATTTCATTATTCTATTTTATAATAAAACTGTTTATAAGTGATGTTATAGATAAAATTCTGATGTCCTAATGTTATCATAGTTTTCAGAATTGTATTATAATTCACTAATTTCCATTGTAGCTGTTTATCCATGTACCAGTATTGAGAAAGATGAACTGAATAATGTTAGTTCATTTTAAGAAAGTTCTAAAATAGAGAACCGTTTTTGAAATTAGTCTTAAATGCTACTGTTTTGAGAAACAAAAAGTAATTCAGGTTACCGTTATCATTTTCATTTCTGGTCACTCATTTCAGTTTACAAAGTAGTCCAGATTATTTCTTGACAAATGAGTTTCCCAAACACAATTTTGCTAGGTATGAGCAAATAAAATCATACATTTGGGTAGCTCTTTCAACCATTCTTAGAAAGAAATCAGAAACAGATGAATTTATTTATTTATTTGTTTGTTTGTTTATTTTTTTTTTTTAAGGAACAGGTGAATTTAAATGGATTCTAATGTCATCCTGGACATTGAACTGAGGCATTTTCTTTCTTTCTTTTTTTTAAGATTTACTTAAAATCTTAAATAGAGTGCGCGTGAGCAGGGGGAGGGATAGAGGGAGAGGGAAAGAGAATCTCAAGCCGACTCAGCGCTGAGCATGGAGTCCAGCACAGGGCCCGGTTTCACAACCCTGAGATCATGACCTGAGCCGAAACCAACAGTCGGAGGCTTAACGGACTGAGCCACCCAGGCATCCCAGAGGTATTTTTCTATTAGATGACAATGAATGCGTTACGTTCTTTGAACAGCTTAAATATATTTTTTTTTTTTTTGGTCACAACCAGCCCCCTTAGCTTTTTGCATTAAGTAGCTACTATATTGAGTATCCATTTAACAAACTACTGACTATGGTTCAAAGGAGTGTATCTTAAATCCTGACCATTGTATTGATTTTATGTCTATAGTAATATAATTTGTATCCATTATAGCTCAAAGAAGTTAGGGTAACTTTGAGTATGTAGAAATGAGTGTGTCTGCCCTCAAGGAACTCCTAATCTTAGAAAGAGCTATTGTTAGACTTGTCCCATGGTGGTTGTTGAGTGGATGAATGAAAAGATGTAACTCATGTGTGAATTAATTTTATATCATTACATAGTACACATATGTGTGTATATATACTCTTTATACTAATTTGGAAATTAAAATTTTTATAAAATAGTACTTATTCTTACCATATGTGATGCATTCTGAGTTTTAAAGTTTTATTCTATTGTTTGAAATGCTGTCATTACCCATTAAGTTGATCATCATGAGCCACTAATGGATTGTATCCAATTTAACCAACATTGTTCTGATGTTTAGCAGACCAGGAAATAGCACTAGGATCACTATTGATAGGTTCTTGGTGATGGGAACATTACAGGAGATGAAATCTTAGGCTAGGAAATAAAAAGTTCTCAAATAAGGGTGCCTGGGTGCCTCAGTCGGTTAAGCATCTTGCCTTTGGCTGGGGTCATGATCCCGGGGTCCTGGGATCGAGTCCTGTGTCAGGCTCCCTGCTCAGCGGGGAGTCTGCTTCTCCCCCTCCCTCTGCCTCTCCTCCTGCTTGTGCTCTCACTGTCTCACTCTCTGAAATAAATAAAATCGTTAAAAAAAAAAAGTTATCAAATAAAAAGCCTGTTCCTCTCTGAGAATTGTCAAGGACAAGAACTCAAAGTTAAATTTTGAACACTTCCTGGACTCTGACTTTTTTTCTCTCAACTTTCTTATCAGCCTTCAAACAGTGGCCGAGCTGCAGAACTGCTTGCCAAAGAACAGGGAACGGTGCCTGGATTTATTGGTTTTGGAACATCTCAGAGTGACCTAGGCTATGTTCCTGCTATTCAAGGAGCTGAAGAGATTGACAGTCTTGTAGATTCTGATTTCCGAATGGTGCTGCGGAAACTTTCTAAGAAAGATGTCACGACAAAATTAAAAGCAAGTTTTATGTTTTTCATAAAAATGATCAAGAAAATCCTTTTGTTAGAATAAAATGTCATTGGTATATTTTATGTAAAGAAAAATGAGCAATCGTTTATCACTAATAAGTTCTTTTACAATTGTACTTTTTTCTGACACATAGACTTAAGCTTAGTTTTTACCTTTTATTTTCTGGGCTATAAATTAGTTTGTTGTTCTACACTTATTTGAACCACTTTGGAATTCTGGGTGTATGGTTTTTCCCATTAGAGAATGTGATTTTGACCCTATAGCATTAAATGGAGTTTTTGTTTGTATATATTTTATTTAAAAAAATGAAAAGTTTCTATTATAGTATGTTGTGAAGGAACTCTTCAGATTAGTCCCATACGGCATAAACAGAAGCAGTGTATTCTCCCGTTATATAAAATAGACCAAGCTTCTATAACAGAATAAATATAATCAATAGACAATGTTGTGGCTGTTGATCCTTAGTAATGTTGCTAATTTATTTTTAGGCTATGCAGGAATTTGGAACCATGTGTACAGAGAGAGACACAGAAATTGTAAAAGGAGTCCTTCCATACTGGCCAAGAATTTTCTGCAAAATTTCACTTGTAAGTATTAAAAAACTTACACTAGTTTTTTGTTGTTGTTGTTATACAGTTTTTGATTGAAGTCATGGGGACTGTTACATTTATATGATTCATTTTTGGTGAGGATTATAAAATGTTATGTCAGTATTATGCAGATTGGATCATGTTAGTTGTATAAAGTGTATTGGGAGTCTGTTTTCAGAAATTAGGTAATTACTAGAGAATTACCTAGATACTTTCTAGTCATAGTAAAATTTGACAGTTTAATTTCTTTGCATGTTTGCTGCAAAAGAGTGAGTGTGAATTTGAGGCTATCTTGAATAGTTTTTATCTCATTGCAAGAAGGGGAAAAGGAAAAATTAATCAAATTTCTCACAATTTTTAAACTTAATAATTTTAGTTGAGCTCTGCCCATAGGTGAATTCTTATTAATGGGTCATCATAGCATATCCAGAAATGTCTGTATTTGTATTTTTATGGGCTATAGCTATTTTAAACCATGTTATATTTTTATTAGGATCATGATCGCCGGGTTCGAGAAGCCACACAGCAGGCTTTTGAAAAACTTATCCTTAAAGTGAAGAAACACTTGGCTCCTTATTTAAAAAGTTTAATGGGCTATTGGCTAATGGCTCAGTGTGATACTTACACACCAGCTGCATGTGCAGCAAAAGATGCCTTTGAAGCAGCTTTCCCTCCAAGCAAGCAACCTGAAGCCATAGCATTTTGTAAGGATGAAATTACAAGTGTAAGTTCTTGGAACTGTTCTCTATTTTTTTCCTCAAGTATTTAAGGGATATAAGGCATGTTATAATGATAGCTCTTTTACCTGGCCTTGTGAAGGAATAAGAAAGTGGTGTTTAACAAAATTGACCATTTTTGATTTTTAACATAAGTAACATTTTGGATTGAATCTAAGTTATTTAAATTTTTCATCTTTAATTTATAAATATTAGTGATAGTACCTAAAAGATTTGGGTTTATGCTTTATGTTACAAAATCTGAAGAAAGAATACATCTAAAAAATAAATCTAAGTTTATTTTCCCCATATTTCCAAATCAGTACATGTATACAGATCTACTTCATTCTTTTTGTTGACTTTCTGATATGGATGCACAACAGTTTATTTAACTCCTTTTATATTAATAAACATTTGGGGTTTTCCCTCAGTTTTTTATTATAACAAACACTGCTTCAGTGAACATTCTTGAATAGATCCCTTTATACCCTGTGGAGTGATAGTAGAATTTATAGTAACCATATGTTGGGTCAAAGGATAAGAACATTTGTAAAATTTTTATAGATGGTGATAAATTGCCCTTCAGAAGTCTGTATAAATAGGCTTACCTATTTGATCTTTCCACCTAACACCTCTCCTACACACACACACACACACACACACACACACACACACACATACACACATGCATTCTAGTTCCCCATTTAAGTTCTTGGTTCTTCTATTCTTTATTTTTCAGGTTTACCAAGTTTGTTTTTCTAGGGATGGGGTTTGTAGCTTTAATCATATTCTCAAAGGGAGTTGTCTAACCCAAGAATCATTGGTTTATTTAAAATATCAAGTATTAAGTGTTGTGAGAGTGAAGTGTGATGAGTTGGAACACTAGGAGTTTTAGAAAATAGATTTTGAGACAACTAATTTGGCTATTCAGGTTTTCATTTGGTTGGTTTTTTGTTCTTGGCTTTGTTATGGATGGATAACTGATCATTGAATATGTGGATTATTTCCTCCATTATTCTTCCTTTACTTGGTTATGTCACAGTTCTTACAGGTACTGAGTTTGAACTTTCCCAAGTTCAAAACCAATTTTGTAGAGAGGAGTTAGGCAAATGAAGACCAAAATGTCAGATTTATAGTTATTACATTATACTGTCTATAAGAACATAGGCTCCAGGTCATACACACAGTGGGTTCTAGTCCCACTGTGCCATTAGTTTTGCATGTGACCTTGGGCAAGTTCCTGTGCATCCATTTCTTCATCTATTAAAGTGGAAATTGTACTTTATTGAGTAGTTGTGAGGATTAATTTAGTTAATGGATGAAATGTATTCAAAGCAATACCTAGCATGTGGAAAAGCTAAGTAAATGTTACCTGTTGCTATTGCTGATAAAAGGGGTCCTAGAACAGTGGGTTCCCTAGTCTGCACCTTGGAAGTAGGCAGACTTACCCACTTTGAATGGAACCTTAGACATTTCTCCATGATGAAGCAGAGCACAATGTGTGGTCTCCTCTATGAGCTGGGAGGCACTCAAAAAGAGGGGAGAGGAAAACAACCTAATTTCTCTTCCAAATTTACTCATCGGGAATTCTACTTCACTGCTGTGTACAAGAGGAATGGAGGAGCAAGAGACCAGGAGTATTTAAGGGAAAATTCCTCTTGACAGGTATTGGAGATGTTCAGAAGAAGTACCCTCTCCTTTTTACCCCAAAAGCAGTCAACCTTGGGGATTGATAGGGAAAGAAAAATAGGTAAAATTCAGACCTTTTAGTTTTGCTGCTTAATTTGCTACTTTTTTGGGGAAAGGGTGAAAACTTTTAGGTCAGATAAGGTTTATGTTCTAACTGTTCACCATTGACAGTCCAATAAAATCTCAAGGTTATGGAATTCCCCCCTCCTCCATAGGTGCTGCAGGATCATCTTATAAAAGAAACACCTGATACACTCAGTGACCCACAGTAAGTGATGCTCTATCTATGTAACTCATGTTAAGAATTTGTTTCACTCATAGGTAATAAGACAATCACTTCAAGGTCACATTTTTTAAAAAGGGATTGTAAAAGTAGAAATGAAAATACTTAATATAATGCTATATGCCAGGTGCTGTTTTAAGTGTTTTTACTTGCAAGTTGTCCTATTTAATTTGAATTATCCGGGAGTTACGTGTTTTGTTCTTTTACAAAGAAATATTTTTATGTTTTTCCCACATTTACCTTTTGATAGTCCTAGCAGAAATCATTTTAGGGTCTGGTTGAAATAGTGAAGAACTATGAATAGTTCTGTTGAAAGAGTAGTAAAATGTCCCATTTTATGTACAAATAAAACTATGAGAAGTTCATAATGGAAAGTAATCTTAGATGCACTGATACCCATTTCCTAGAATCATCTTGCTGCTGAGAGCAATATATTTGCACACTTTTTTCAAGTCACAGCTTTTCATCTACTTTCACCTTGTAGTAGTTGAAAAATATGTGATTAAAATTTTGTGTGTTTGTATTTTAAGGGAGGAGGGTTGGCACACGGAGGTAGATTGTAGAAATAAAGCAACTTTAGTAGATACTTAATGATAAAACATTTAAAATAGAAGTGCCAAATATGTAATTTGGCTTATTTTCAATCCTTACATTATTTATTTTCTTTTCACATCAAGAACGGTTGCAGAGGAAGAAAGAGAAGCTAAATTCTATCGGGTTGTAACTTGTTCCTTATTGGCCTTAAAAAAATTGCTTTGCCTCTTACCTGATAATGAGCTTGATTCTCTGGAAGAGAAATTTAAGTCTCTTTTATCACAGAATAAGTTTTGGAAGTATGGAAAACACAGTATACCTCAGGTATCTTAATCTTTTATTGTAAACATTTCTGTGATTCCTTTTTTCCACTCTGATATTGTTAGTTTTATATTTTTGCTTTATGCTTATTATTTATGTTTAAAACTTTGTGAACACATCTTTGTGGTTGGGCTGAATTCCTCTTTTACTGCAGTGTTACTGTATTTTCACTTTTTTATTTAGTTATTTAGACCTCAAATTCAGAGTTACGTTATCACACTCCTCTGTTCATGGTGCTTTAAAATTGTTGCTTTGTGTGAGGCTCTTCTAACTTAATGCATTTTTTTCTCTTTTGTCTCTGCTTCCCTTTTCATCCTCCACTTCTACCAGCTAACCATTCTAAATGTGCTTAGTGTATGTCGTTTTGTATGTAAAGTTGATGCTTGTTATTCATGGTAATTAGGTTATATGAAAAACCCGTAAACATTGAATTAGTGAATACTGAAGCATTGCTCTTAGCGGAAATACAAGATTAGGTGTCTGCGAGTCTTTGGTCACATTTTTCTCAGTTGGTCAATGTATAACCTTGTTTTATGTATGTTTGTTTAAAGACATCTTAATATATGTTGCTGATTCATTAACATTGAACTCCTGGACAATAGCACTAGAAGTCATGCCTGAATGAAGCTTATCTAATATGCATTTTCTCTGTTAGGCACATCATTGCCCTTTTGCATGTATTTTTAATTCACATAAATGGTATTATATTTTGTTCTATTTATTTTTTACTTAGACTTTTTAAAAATTTTTTATTGTTATGTTAATCACCATATATTACATCATTTGTTTTGGTGTAGTGTTCCATGATTCATTGTTTGTTCATAACACCCAGTGCTCCATGCAGAATGTGCCCCCTTTAATACCCATCACCAGGCTAACCCATCCCCCAACCCTCCTCCCCTCTAGAAACCTCAGTTTGTTTTTCAGAGTCCATCATCTCTCCTGGTTCCTCTCCCCCTCTTACTTACTCCCCTTCATTCTTCCTACTTAGACTTTTTAAGTACTGGGTGGCTCAGTTGGTTAAGCGTCTTAACTCTTGATTTTGGCTCAGGTCATGATCTCAGGGTTGTGAGATTGAGCCTTCATTGGGCTCCACTCTAAGCATGGAGCCTGCTTAAGATTCTCTCTTTGAAAAGAAAGAAATCAAAAGTACTAAAATACTTTAAATCTATCATGTTCTTATATGTATATTTGGTCCGTGCCTTCTAACTGCTGTGTAGTACTCAGAATTGCATGCCTTCCATTTTACCCCCCCCCCCCCCCATTCT